ATGTAATACATTGATCAACAATATAATGATACAGTTCCCACTGAAATTCCCTTAATTTTGTTCCCTTTGTGGTCCCATAAATGGTTTAAAACCTAATATTTTCATTTGTACACTTTAATTTTGTTTTAATATGTCCTCAGAGTTGCCTATCTATAAATAGTATACAGCATTAATTAATGATTGAATAAAAAACAAAATACTGTCGTTTGTTCGCGCGCTATGATGTGCATTTTTCCCCCTCTTATTCCAGACTGATTAAAAAACAAAAGTTCTGTATATGCTCCCTAACATGACTTGAGCTATCGTATATGTCAGACATTTTACAAGTTACATGAGCACCACTCCTTTATTATTCGGTAATATGAGGGAGATTCCACTACTCAGAAAAAAAATAACAGCTGCAAGTAAGATTGGAATAGCTTTGTTGACACCAATATAACGACCGAATGTGACATTACCAAGAACTCCACCTATCCTGGCTATAGAGCTGAGAAACCCAAATGCCGTAGTTCTGAAATGGAATTAAACACAGCAATGAATAGTATATAGAATATGTAAACTGTGACAGTCTGCCTCGCACTCAAGTTCGATTCTTGCCATTGGCATTGGCATTGAAAAATTGCTGAGAGAAAACAATGTATCTCACCGTTTGTCGGTTGGATATAAAGTAATTGAGAAGACATCGAGTGCGTTCCACTGTGCTTGACCAAAACACTGTACGATAGCTAGCATAACAGCAGCCGAAATCTCAGTATTGATCAACCAAATGAAGAATACACTAACAGCAGAGCAGCACGCAGACGACACTGAAATTAAAAATATAGGTTTATTTAAATGGATATTACACGATGAACCAAAGGGCCAATGTACTAATGTGGTAATTCTATAAATTGTTTATTTGCAGCCTAAATTAGGACAAATATTGTCAATTCTAAGACATTCCAGTAAGTAAGAAGCACGCGGTGTTGCACCACAATCGACTGTCTAACTGTCCGCGGTTCAATTAATTTACCATTTTGCGTTTACAGCAAGAAAGTGTAGATATGTAGGTTCAGCAAAGTATTTTTTAGTTCTTACAAGAACAATATGAACAGTTCAAAAAAAATAATGACGTATTTGAATGTATAAGTAGGTGTATTTTCTTCAGAGCGTCTACCGGGGACGTTTTGTGGAAAACAATTCACGTATGTTATAAGTTATGCTTAGAATTCCCAGCAAACGAAATGCTAGTATTCATTAATGAAAAATACCTTCGTTTTGGAACCAGTGCAAAGAGCGCCCCTGAAACAGGGGGGGGGGGTATAACTCTCAACTTAAAGTCTAGTTGTATTTCGAAAAGAAATATTTAACTTTTGAAAACGAAGATACTTCTAGCACTCTGTGTGAATAATGAAGCTCTACTGTTATTTAGTGGCTCATAGACACTTACTGTAAATTATCTTCGGGCCCATTTTATCCATAAGTAGCGCTGAAATAACAACCCCGGGGATTCCTCCTAACGTTGCAATCAATATCTCCAGGTACACCCTTGACGCGTTGTACGATAGACTAAAATCCAGCTCGCAACCACCTCTTGTGTTTATAAACACAGTTTGGTTCATTGTCGCTTTTATAAATCTGTTGTCATAGAAATTTGTGTTGTTGAATGTGGTACTATAAAAGTCGCAGTTGTAAAAATACGTTCCCGCTGACGTCACATCCTGAAACAAAACTTTGATGAATTCACTTCCGTGGAAATTTACATTTTCCATATGTAAATTCTCGAATTTCACATCTTGAAACGTAACGTTGTTGAACTCTCTGTTTGTGATATCGTCGGTGAACGCTGTGCTGGCAAATGTACTATCATCAAAGGTTTCCGTGTTTCTAAAATACTCGTCTATCTGAAGCCGCTTAATATATTCTGGAAACCATAGCGTCAATCCATAGACACTAAAACAGCAAAACAAAAATTTATTGGGATATCATTTCCAACATGTGCACGCTGTTTTGATTTGGGCGCACGCAACTAATAAGCTATAACATTCATGGTATGTTGTACCAACGGTTTTAGTACGTAAAAATCGTTGTTATTTTGGCAGTATATATTGTACTGATACAATAAACCGACAACCGATTACTTCACTTACCCATATGACGTAGCAAACCAGCACACCAATAGTACAAACGTAATGACCACGAGCGGTTGTTGAAATATACCAATTAACGAGTCAAATATCTGTATATTGAACAAAACGCGTGGTAATATATAACATAACTTCCGAATGCATGCCATGGCCTCGGCCAGACATTTGTAGAGTATGGAAGTTGTTTTCAAGAGTGATGCGGTGTATCCTGCCGCCGTATTTTCACAGGCGAAAGTTTGCATAACAGTTCTATACTCTTAAACTCGATTTTACCATTTTGGTAAAAACCGGTCCAGAACCGTTTCTCCGAAATGAACATGGTAATATAATTCAAAAGTTGTAACATTATTCTACATTTTGAGTTATGGTGGGTGCGCGTCATATTTGTATTTTTTTTAAATTACAACAAAAATGGCCGACTGGCGACCATTTTGTTTTTAATTCATGACCTTGCCGATTCACCACGAAATCGCAGTTTTTTAAACGTGCCCGGAAACGTTTGTGATGAAAAGGGTTGATTTCATTCAAAGTTCGTATCATCACAATTCATATTAGATCGTAAGTGAATTGTTCATGATTCGAATAAAAAAGGCCGACAGGCGGCCATTTGTTTATGTTTTATTATGACATGACTCCTAAAATAAACAATTCGACAAATGAGTTAAAATGGTAATAACATATCAACTGTTATTCCTTCTGTGAAAAATACATCTTTGTAAAGATTACATCATGTAGTATAAATGAGTATTTTGCTTTTTTTCTAATTGTTGTTTCCGAAATGTTTAGTATCACTGTGAGGTCCCGGGCGACGTTTTATAAAAATTCAGGGCATATTCTCGTATAGTGAAACCTAATAATCCCGACAACCAGAAGCATGAAACGGCGACATTGTAGGGCAATACAACAAGCTGCTAATTGGGTTCAGAATTGAAAGTGTTCAGAGTTCAGAATTAAAAGTGAATAAAAACATAGATAACGATAAATAAATTAGAAACGTTGAAAGGAAGATGTAAATTTTCATTGATTTTTAACAAAATATATATGGCATTACATAGTGTTTTTTAATCCATTTAAAAAAAAAACACGCACACACAAAAATACCTAAAATACTTTCCTGCTTGCGTAAAAGAACAAATTAATATTTAACTGCGCTTTATTCTACTAGGACATTATTACAATATTCACCTCACAACACTTCCCACACGACGTCAACACTACTTTTGAATTCATAGCTGATTCGCCCGCAGTAACCTTATTCGTATACTTGTATATGTCAGTGACCTGTGACAAGATATTAAATATTCATGTTCATTAATTTTCTTTGGTGGCAGGTGGTCAAATTCGATTGATGTATCCTTATGAAATTATTCATGGCTTGGTTTTAATCTGGTTTTCATGAAATTATTTCTGAAGGCAAATCTATATTAAGCAGGTCAAATAATTGTTCGTCAGATTAATATGGTAATCTGTACAGTGTATTTTTAGTCCCCGTTCGGACGAAGTCCGAAAACGGGGCTTATAATTCGGTCTCCGTCCGTTCGTGCGTCTGTGCGTCCGTCCGTCCGTCGGGAGTCATATCTCAGAATCCCTTGGACCGTTCATTCTTTGCATGTGCCTAGTACTTTATGTGGGACAGCCACCTTGTTTTTTGAAAATGTTGTATTCTGGACATGCTTTGTCAGTTGTCATTCAAACGTGGTAAATAGATTATACATGTTAGGATACATGTCTATGACGATTTATTTCGCAATTCGATCAAAGATGGTCGACTGGCAGGCATCTAGTTTTTTTTATGTGGTATCTTGGACGTGCTCTGTCAGTTTTCATTCAAATTTGGCACATACATGTACTTTATACATGTTAGGATGCATGTCCATGACAATTTGTTTCAAAATCTAGTCAAGGACGGCCGATTGACAGCCATCTGACTTTTTGGCCTTACTACTATATTTCCACAATTTTCATTCGTATTTGGCACATACATCATACATATCAGTGTGTTTCATAATCAGATGGCCGTGTTTTGATGTAAATAAACAATCTGTTGTATACGCCACTTGGAACTCAAGTTTCAAGGACACGCTCGCGACAACCCCTCCGCTTTAATATGACGAGCACAAAGAAACCTTCAAAAATTTAACGGGGACTGTGTCATTTTCAATGACTTGTGAATTAACGATTCAGTGAAATTGTTGAAGTCTATGTAGACATACTAAATTTCTGTCTGGGTATATCATATAGGAAAGATGTTTTCAAAGATGCATAGCGATGCGAGGTATACAAGAACATACATTGAAGTAGCTTTTTGGCTAGGCGTTATTGTTTTTACATGTTTTGCTTCTCCAATAAAAAATACAATACGAAACGGCTAATATTATGTATACTTATCTTTTCTCTGTATGAGTCAACTCCAGCTGATCCATGGTTTTGTCTGTAAACGTCGGTTAACACATCAGTAGCAGCGGCCCATTTCCCTTCCTGTTAGTGGAAATGGACAAGCGGTGCGTTTATTAATTACCGCTGTAGTGTGAGATTTCTATGATAACAAATACCAATTTCGACAATACTAGTAAGGTATATGTTTGTCATAGTCAACCAGTATCAACATGAAATAACAATGTATACACTGTAACATTTGAGAAATGCAGTTGTAGTTGTCTTACCCTGACAAGGAACCTGGGACTTTCGGACATAAAACCTAGCAGTAGTATCACCGTAAGAATGCATGGAATTGCGCATACCAGTATGAATATTCGCCATGTGCTGAACCGATCTTCATAGTATGATTCTGTTGTCATTGTAGAGATAGTTATAAATGTTAATACTGCAATGACAATATATATGTTTGAGTACAGATTCAGTTTTCCTGGATACTTGTGTGTAAACAGGAAAAAGCATTGTAAAATATACAAAAATGTTCATAATCTACACTTGAACAACAATTCTTGTGTGGCCATATTTTTATCATAATGCCATTGTGGCGATTTGAACTTGATGTAGTTACATAGATCAAGATAAACTCACAATCATGGTAATACATGCCAATTTAATTACAGACAATGCTTCTTTCAACATTGACCAATACTACTAAGTATATATGTGTGTTGAATTGTTATGGATGGTTATGTCATACAAGGAATTGGACATTCTATAATAAACGAATGATACAAACCTGTCAATTAATTTGGGTACTAGCATGTTCAAATACAAGCATTTATAGACCTTAACCAAGATTCTTCCCAAGAATGGCATTCATTGGGGAATGCAATCCAGCCAGTGGTTTTGGTCTCTCGTTTATAACATCTTTGGAATCACTGGGGGCATACCAATTATGATTCTGACACAATCACCAAATACCACAAATCGATCAAATAAACATAAATTGCCTATCGTTATATTCAAATGCATATTTTTAATTCAACCATACCATTTGTTGGAAGAATTGCCAATCCCATGCCTGATGCAAATAAACCGCCGATCACATAGAACATCTGCAACCAGCTTACGTGTCCTCCACGGGTTTCTTTCGGTACGAATTCACCATAGTATGAAAATGTCACAGGGATTGATCCACCAATACTAAAGGAAAACGAGAACATGGCGCAATTATAACAAATGAAAATGGTGGTTTTATAGGTTGTATACGCGGTTTTTACCTTGGTTGTACTTTAATACCTTTCTATACATATGCAAATTGTTTTACCATGTTAAAAAATGGCGATATCTCCAATATTACTGGCTGAGATTTATATAAGTTAAAAATCTAAATGCTATTTGTTTTAAGCCAGCTTTCAAAACTAGTTGTATATCTCAAGTCAACTTGTTAAGTTACCTAGTTACTTGTCTCAAGTCAGAATGATATTATGCAAGAATAATAACACATAATTAGACGCTAGAGGTAATCAAGCCGTTATTCATTAATATGAAAATTTAGTTGATAATTACAAGTTACAAAACAATATTATAAATCATACATTAATGAATTCTTTCATTCGATTTCATTTGAAAAAAATGCAGATTTTCAATATTTAGTATCATCAATAAAAAAATTGTCAATCATATGAAAACCGTGATTAGAAACTTATGTTTCACCCTTCTATCGGAATGGCCAATATTTGGTATTTTGTCACGGAATGGAATGCTTTCTGATATTTTTTTGAAGTTGTCCTTTGTACTCTCCGAACGTATCAGGAAAGTACTTACCCGATTCCAGCACCGAGTCGGCATATTAGGAATTGCACAAACGTTTTTACAAATGCTGAACAAAGGCCAAAAATAGCATTCATAGTAAGACAAATTATCAAGGTAGTTCTTCTACCAATTCTGTCGGAAATATTTCCCCATAATAATGCGCCAATCATCATACCCACAAATACCATACCACCTGCAAAGTAAGAAACAATAATCAACGCCAAAATACATGTTGGAATCTGTATTTTTGTAATATGAACCGCGCCCTTTACTCATCTTTGACGTACGTATGGCGTACATTGATACAAGTAATGTCGTTCAGCTTCGCTTCGTTGTGGGGTCCTTCTTAATTTAGAATAAATATGTAACGCAGCAGTTAGACGACCGCTAATATCCTGCTTGTTTGCAGCAGCAAATCCTTCTCGTTTGAAGCAGATTTTCCACGCGCATCGTCACTGTCACGTGCACACTCCAATTTGCACTAGATTTGTTCACCATTTTGTATTACTTCGAATCAAACTTTTACCTGTCAAGTCCAAGTATTCATATTTGTACACATGATTCAGTTACTATATCACGCTTAGTTGCAAACAAGATGAATGGGGTGACGTAATCACAATATGTGTTTTACCCATGGTTGTGGTAACCAGCATGTCGTGTATGTCAGTAGGAATATATTAAAATAGAGGTATATAGGCATGTCAATATCACATGGCAATACAATAGCACCTCGGTATTACATATTAATATATAATTTGTTATGATATTTTTAGAGTAATTTAATAATAATAATATAACTGTCGTTGACAAA